AACCAAATATTGATTCTAAAAATCTAACTTAATGAGTGATTTCATGACTTAAATTTCGATAATAATGTTATTTATGTTTTTGAATTGCAACAATAAGGTAATTTATTCTTGTCAAATTTCAAAATGAGTTACATAGTTCGTCAACAGGTGCTGTTGGTAAATGCGAAAAAAATTATAAAACATTTTTTTAAGATAACTATCATGAGTCAATGCTCTGAGAGCAAAATCATCATCACCATCTATTGACATACTTTGTAACTATTTTTGAAATTGGAAGAGGAAAAAAGTTTCGCTTCCCAAGCAAACCATACATTTCTATCTTTTGTTTTTTCTTTATTTGATTTTTTAAATCATCACCCTATTTTAAAGATCCCAAAAATACCATAAAATTCCTTTTTTTGTTGTATTTTTTAAATTCTACAACTATCTACTAGCATCACCATAGTATTATACCAATTCAAAATTTGCACTCCGAAAGCTTGACGATTATTTTCCCAGTGCTTTAAGTAATATTTCCCTTGCTGTACTTTCATCTGTCACTAAGTTCATAACTGATATCTTTGAACAAACTCAGCTTAGTAAAGTTTCTATTATAAGAGATTCGATATAATTCCGCTTTATTTCGTGACCGAAACGTGTTATAAAAGTAAAATAAAGTTATTAAAAGTAACTTTGAACTAGAAAAGTAATATTGAAGTAAGAAGGGAATAAAATTACAAAGTTTGCATTACTTAGAATGTTTTGGAGCAATTTTAAACATTATTATTAACGACAATGCAATATAATGAACTGATGATGAAACGTTTATCATAAATGATAATGACAACGAAACATTTTTAAGTGTTCATCATTCATACTATTTCACTCCGAGTTGAAAATATATTTTACAGCTATTATTTAATCAGTTGAAAATTTTATAAACAGACAATTTTTTTTCTTACAATTTTAGAATGACGCCCTATTCAAAATCTTTATAAAATGAAACATAGCTTTATTGTGAAATCTATGAATGAATAAACCAATCGTTAACTACAATAAATAATGAAAATAAAAAAACTTAAATATAAAAAAATGTGCACAAACATAATACATGTTTGTATGGTTATTAAAAAAGTAGTATATAAAAGTAATAAAAAAACTAATTTTTAAATTTAAAACAAAACGCAAAAAATTAACATGAAAAAGTAAGGTTTTTTAATTTCCATATTGTTTTAAAATGCATGGAAAAAGATTTAAATCAACATATCCTAACTGGCTGAAACTGATTTTTTTTAAAATTCTTTATACTATTGAATTAGGAAGGAAGGTAATGATTTAAAGTATCAAAGTAATGATTTAAAGTATCATGAATGGATTGCATATTTACTAAAAATAAAACAATTACTGATTATTTTGTAATTTTTTGAAGAAAGAAAATTACAAAAGGAAGAAATAGTGAACAGTAAAAAATGCTTCATTGTTGATTTCACATAGAGTAATTGTGCTACTCACTATTGTTTTCTAATTCATTGTGAAAATTGTTAAGTGAGTTAATTTCTATGAAAAGTGTCACAATGAAGTGAATAGCAACAAAAGAAATTCAAAAGAAGCGTAGCACACTATACTAAAAAATTGCAGCTGCTTTTTTATGGTGTCAAAATGAGAAAATATACGATACGATTTCTTATCTAGACATATGCAGCCGACAACAGCAACACATCGAAAAGTATTGAAAATTAAACAAAAGCTTGGGAAATAATTATAAGGTCAAATTCTTTCTTTAAATGATGAAACAATTTAATGCCTAGTGCAGTTAGTGTTTTGACGCCCACAAATAAACAATTTGGGTTTAACTGTGCATTTCACTGGTCTAAGGAGGCTATAAAAAAAAATATAAGAAACACCCCATTTACAGGTGCCTGAATGCAGACTACTGACGTCACAGACCTGGAAATGTACGCCATTTCTGAAGTTTAGAACTCTTTTTTGCAATGTAAACGAAAAATAACCACGTGATATGGAAAGAGCGAAGTATTAAAGCACCTTCTTTTCACTCGACATGCTTGAAAGCAAGCTAGGAGAATCGAAGGTGAAATCAGATTTTCGCTCTTCTTGTGACGTCACGAGGCTGATGTTACGACTCATGTCAATGGAGAGTATATAGAAAAAATAAACCTTACATTAAATACAGAAACAATACCGAGACTTTTAGAAACCTTACAAGCGTTTGATACATTAACGTTTTGTCCATGTCATTGTATTTTCCACTGCAGTATCGTCATTGGATGGATTGTCTTTTCCAGACTGTTACAGGCAATTTGTGTTATCCTTATTTTACTGACTTTCATAGTTTCCACTCAATTTGAGTAAAATTCTGTTATAGTCATTTGATAGACTGTCTATACTCCTCTAGTTTAAAATTGTATTATCCTCATATGATTGATTTCCATACTAATCTGTATAAAATTGTGATATCAATTGATTGACTGCCTTTTCCATGCTGTTCCAGTCACGATACTCATGTTGATCTGACTCAAGTGAGTGCAGATATATTTTTTGAGGATTACAGCCCAGTTAGCGAGCAGCATTTTGGCAAACGTTATATTTTCATTTTTATTTGTTTGGCATGAAAAGGTTGGCTAATTAATCCTTTTTTAAACTTAGTAGAAATGTTAGTATGTGAGGCTTTCTACCTTAAAGATTGAATAAAGTCGTGAAAAGAAAGAAAGGATAGCAAAAAATCTCTTTCTCGTTATTTTCTTCCTTCTTTCTTTTTTTCCTCTTCTTTAAACTTTGTTTTTGCCTTTTTTTCATGCATGCTTATGTCCAGGCGCTACCTTTTGTTTGTGCTGAAAACTTAATGATTAAGCCAACCTTTACACTTAAAGTGTTAAAAAAGTGATATAAAAGCCTGTTCAAATAAACCTTGTTTCAGTGATGGTCATAAAAAGTAAAATAAGCCTTGCGAAAGTGAATTTCCTGGAACGATTTCTACTCATGATTTGCAACTGATGATTCATCCTCGATTCCAGATTTTTCTTGCCTTTATTTGTAAAGACAGATTCAGTTCTTATATTTTAAAGAGCTATTTATGCAAGCTAAATCCGAACTTCATTGCGCGTCAACTAGCATATTTAAATTGAACACTGTTTCAAGCCTGCATGATTTATTTTCTAATCATTTGGAAAACTTGCTAGGCTTTGCGAAAAAAATGGTTTCTGATATTAAAATCAACTTTACACTGTGATCTAGGAAATAGTGGTTACGTTTTTGCCGTTTTGGAAAAGTAAAACAGTCATTAAATTAATGTAAAATAATGCTTGCTGTGAGCCAGGAGATAATTCATCGAATGCTTGCAAATATGTATTGATCAGATCTAACGATAGAGAGAAAAAAAAAACATAACGGTTTCTTAATTTAAAGCAAGGTTTATTTAAGATATATTTATCATACATTTTTTATTACAGCCACGGGAGAAACGGTTAGACTATATTTTGAGGTGCCCATAGGATTATTACCAAGTTAGTCGCCAGGATAAGCGATGTTGGTTTACTTATGGCAACCTGCATTAAAACTTCTAAATAGTCGATATTTTCCTTTTTACTCCGCACATAAAATGAAATTTATTTCTATTTTTGAGTTATTTATTTTGATATGAAATTCATTTTGTTCATATTGCATTTTTTTTAAATATTTTAATTTAGTTTTTCGTTTTCGGTGCCATTTTATTTAGCAGGGCAATGCACATAAACAAAATGCAATTTGCGCCAAAAAACTGTTAATTTACATTAAGCGGCATCTAACACCTAAACATATATTTTTTACCGAAGAAACTGCAAGTTATGTTTTTTTTGTATTTTAATTTAAATACATATTTTTTATTCCCAAATTTCAATATAAGTTTTCTTATTCGGCTAAAGAAAAAATAATTGTTTTTATTTATTTATTTTTTAATTTTTATTTTATTTTCAAGGAACCAATTTTACATAACCTCATCAAATTGCGTTTTAAAATCTTATATTAAAAATAAAATTTCGAAAACAGTGTCTTAATATTAAAATGTTTATGCACATTAAATTAAATCAATGTTTTCCCTTTCCTCTATCGAATTTATTTAATAATTTTATTTAATAAAAATCCTCAACTGGCACGCGAACTACCGTGTTATGAATAACAAATAAGGCTGAAACATACAAAGATTTTCAATAATCCGTTTTAGTAAACCAAATGAAAAATTTCATTTATTGCGAATATTTCCCAATATTTTTTTTCGTTAATAAGTTTTAATGACAGTATAGTTATTTTTCTAATTAAAATGCATAATGTCTTCCCAATATCTTTCTAAACTCTCTAGTACCTAATTTATACGTGAATGATTCCATTATTTTTGAAGCAGGTTTTAATAAATTAAACTTCTAAAAGTATTCACAGTTTATAATTTCAAATTATAATTAGAAATTTCTTCTGAAGTAAATGGTTTTAAAATGCGTATTTACTCTTTTCAAACATATTATTTGTTAAGGATTTTTCAATAATTAATTCTTGATTTTTTCAATTGTTTGGTGTTTAAAATTCAATAAAAAATTTAGTTGAAAAAACACCGAAGAGCATTTACACTCACGCTCATTTTTTTTCTTTAAAAAAAGAATATGACACCTTATGAAATAAAAACAAAAAAGAAGAAATCAACATTTAAGATGAATGTTTAAAGTAAAAGGTTGGCAAAAAAACAAAAAAAAAACATCAATTAAAGAAAAACATATTCAGGCAAACTTAGGAAAAGGGATACACAACAATCATTGGAAGACAGAGAGAGAGAGAGAGATAGAAAAATAAACATCCAATATAGATTTCATTCCCATTCAGAATATTTACAGCCAGTTGACGGAATAGATACAGAGAGATGAGAAAGAGGCATTCCGGTGGTAGTGTGCAGGCCCCAACACATTGACATTCCTGGGGGGGAGGGGTGGGTGATATCCACCTAGATGGGGGGGAGTGTTTTGTGGGGGATGCAATACCTCTCCAACGGAGTAAAGATGAAGCTGTGTCCGGGTTGAGGTCTCCGTCCCATGTTCCATGGGACATCGGTGAGGTCAAGTCTTCCTCTTCCTCAGGGATGGTGTACACCTCCCCCGGGCTGCGGTCGTAATAGGGGAGGGTGGAGCTACCTCCTCCCCCCCTGTTGTCCTCGTCGCTGTCGTAAGCATCTTCCTCGTCGTCATCCTCTTCTTCGAGCATCAGTCGTATGCTGGATGTCCGGTCGCTGAAGCCGTCGTCGTTTGCATTCGCGATTCCCGGAGAACTGTCCTCTCCCGAGAGGACTGACCTTCCCCAGTCATCGTCGTCATCTTCCATCAGGAGATAGTACTCGTTTGGACCTGTCTCTGTAGGGAGGGAAACTACATCATCTACTGAACCTGGATGTAGGTACTCACGTGACATGGTCTCGTCCTTCCGGTTCGGGTCTCCAGCAACCTGCGTGAGGCAAGAAAAAATGAGACAGACATCAGTTGCCAAAAAAGAAAAAAAAGCCTTGAAAGTCTGTTAATTAAAAAAAAATCCTAAATCATTAATTACAATTTTATTTCGTTTTTCAAAAAAGTTAGTAGTATTTTATTTACGTCACTCTAGAGTTATTAATAACGGGCTATAGGTAACGGTCTGGAGGAGGATTCGAAGACATGCCATCATTTTGATCTTCCGCAGGAGGGAATGGCTCCCCTTTTTTGGTAGAAAGTCAAGCACTTCAAGATAGAACAGCTTAACGAGGACACATAGCGAGCACCCTCGGTCCCTACGCAGGCTGATCAAAGAGGTCACTCACCCACTTACTGACTGCAACCAGTAATGCTGGAATTCAGTGTTCTATTGAGAACCGTGTCTTTACAATCAGTCCACTGCTAGGCAGTTTTTTTTTAATTTTTTTTAAGTGAATGGGATCTTAAAATGCAAAGTCATACTCGTATTTTCCTAAGATTTTAAATTTCAGATTAGTTTAAAAACATTTGTCAGATTATTTTACTTTTAACTTCTTGTCCAAAAGAGTACCAGAACCCTAAATTAAAGTAATCTTTTAAAAAAGAAAAAGAAAAAAAAAGCAATTGTTTTATTTTTATTCTGAATGAATACCATTCTTTGAGAATTTCGAGAGTAAATATTTTTGTTCTAAATTTCCTAAAAAGAATGAAGTAATTTATTAAAAATAAACTATATATTTTTCTGATCCGGTGATAGTAAGAATTGCTTTAACTTCTCCAGTTCCGTTTCAGTCGTAGTTTTCTAAATATACTATTTTTTTACTTTTAAGTCCTATTATTTTAGGAATTATATAAGACTTATCTTTGGAATTCATGCATTTCTACTGTCACTCAAGTCATTTACAGTTTGAAGCTTTATATATTTATTTCTATTTTCGTATTTTGTAATTTAGTATACTTTTACTACATATATATATATATATATATATATATAACATGCGAATGATTTAGCAGAAT